ATTTTTTTTTTTTTTTTTGTGTCCACACACTTTGTTTTCTTGTCCAGGCCATGTTTTTGGTGTACTGTGCTTTGGAGAAAGAACCAGTGCCAATGTCCTTGCCTGCAGCTTTGGTGCCACCATCCAAGAGAAAACCTATTACTGTTCCAGGAGCGATGCCATTAATTCCATCTTCAACATCTACCAAAGAGTCTCATCAGTCATTGCCACCTGTAGGCATTTTAGCTGCCAAAACAACATTAATGCAGGTATAGTTTTGAAGTTACTTGGGGTTAGAAGATGTCTGCTCTTAATGTTGTGCTCTGGAGTCTACGTGTATCAAGAGTCTTGATACAAATTTTTAGCTTCCTTTTTGCCCTGTTGAATGATGAATTTGAGGAGGCTGATAGAAAGACCCGGCAGAGAGTTATGAAATATATCTTGCTCTGCTTTCTCTAAATGTCTTCAGATCTAAACAGTTGGATAGAAGTATATTATTTAGTAAAGGTTTTGAAGATATTTTAAAAATAAATTATTTCAAGGCATCAACCTCAACCTAAAGGTCAGAATATTAAGAAAAGAGGTAGAACATAAGTCTTCTGGCTGAAGACTGATTTGAATACGAACAAGTTCTTAAAATAAATTGTGGCAGGCATGTCTCTGCAGTTGTATATGCATGCCATTTGAAGAAGACATTAATGAAAATGGAATAGATAAATGCAAGTAATGGGAAAAGGAAACAAAAGGTCTGGCATATCTACATAAACACATGAGATTTGGTGTTTGTTCCAAATGTGATTCTTAATAAGCTTGACACCTTCCCCCCCCCCCAAGCATCTTATTTAATCCTGGTCATTTTAGAATCCAGAATTTGGGGAAATGTCTTTCCAAGTAGGTTCTAAGTTACTTGTTCTATTAAAAAGAAAAAAAGAAGGGGATTGAAGGTAAGAATTGTAGTATGTAATACATAAGATACTGCTTGGACATTTTGTTATCCATATCTGAGTAGTCAGCAAGAAACAAGCATCTTAATTCTGGAGGTGCCAAGGTTTTAATCTGACAATTTACTTGACTGATGGTAAACCTTGCTGTATGTATTACAAAGAAGTGCCATTCTGGATGAGTGTTTAAGTGTATGTTTTGTGTACAGCACCATTTGGAAATCATCTGTTGTGTACAGCACCATTTGGGATTCATCTGTTCAATGGTGCTGTACACAAAGCATACACAAACAGTGTACAGGATTCATCCATACAAGAACACACTATAAGTTCCTACTGTTGGGATTCATCAGCATGCCCTTGTATGCTGAAATTAATTAGCATTCATAAGCATGCACTTGAAGCCATTCTGACTCAAAAACATCTTTATAGTAGCTTAGTGTTTGGAAAAATTGTTGAAGTAAGAGAAGGGGCTCTAATTCCTGTCTTTACCTTGATTGGAGGTAAATTCTGCAATTTAGAATGTGCCAGCTATTAACAGTCTGGACTTGAGCAGTTCTTCACTCCCTCTAGCTAAAGCTCTCCAGCTGTGTAAAGAGGAGTAAAATTGATAGAGCAGACAGTAAGCAGGACTGTGACTGAGCATAGTGATGAGGGCACAACCCTATGCAGGGAGGACATCTGGGCTCTGGGGAATACTTTTAAAGCATAGGCAAGGAGGTAGAGCAATACCAACCAGTCTTGGTGCTTCACGGAGGTGTAAATACTTTGCTGTGGATCTCTGTGCATCTCTGTTTTGGAGAAAAAAACTGGTTCATGAACTAGGCACCTATATCATTTTATAAATCTGTCCTGTAGTCCTTGAATTATGTAACTCTGGAAGTAACTATCTGAAAACAGAACTGCCTATATCTTAGTATTGTGGTTTTGCTGTTGTTTTTATTTATTTTTTTTTTCCCCTTCCATGCCCACCCCCCTTCAGTGGGTTGTATCGCCTGCAGACAAAATTAAGTATGATGAGATCTTTGTGAAAACTGACAAGGACATGGATGGATTTGTGTCAGGTGTGGAAGCCAGAGAACTATTCTTGAAGACAGGACTGCCTTCTGCTCTTCTTGCACATATCTGGTAGGGTTTTTTTTTCCATGACAGCTGTTTAGACGATGGCATGGTTCTCGCTCCTTCCTAGCACTTTTCTTGTAAAGTGCTATGTTGACATTTCTGGAAAGTGAAAGGTTGGGGTGGTTTTTTTTTTATATAATAGCATGGCCTCTGTATAAGCAGTGATAACTTACTTGTTTCTACTTTTGGAGAGAAATGGGGGGGAAAACAGGTTTATGTTATGCATCATATCTTAAGAGAGAATGTAAAGTGCCTGAACACAGATTGTTACAAAGAAATACTGCACTTCAGCTAAACCCATGTATTTAAAGCATAGTGTTGCTGTGTATCTAAACACTGATACTATCTATATACTGCTAAATAGAATTATCTGTATGAAAGTCTTAGCATATGAGACTTATGGCCCATCTGATTCTACAACTTGTCTTTCATTACAGCTGGTAGTGACACCCGCTGCTTTCCTCACTATAAGCTATTGTGAGGGTGCTCTCATAGGAAAATCTTTTTTTTTTTTTCTTTTTCCCCAAGTATGGTTAACACAACCTCTAATTTAGGAAATTTTAAAAAATTTAGATAAACTTGGTTGGCTGTGTTCTTCCATTTAGAAGGAACTTCAGTTATAGTGACTTGGGTGTTGTTAGTGACTTAGAGCCCTGATTCTGCCTTTCACCAGATCAGAACTTACTGTAACAGAGCTGTGGACCTTAGCATGCAAAGAGAAAATGGCTGTGTATGTTTGAGTAATGTTTCCTATTTATTACCATGCCTTACTTCTATATTGCATTATTTTTTAGAAGAGGAGACAGTAGCAATTTTCACATTTTTACATGGCAGTAAGTGCAATAAACAGGGCTGTACTTGGAGAAATGAGTATTTATTTCATGTGCATCTCTGTACAGGGCTCTCTGTGACACAAAGGACTGTGGAAAGCTTTCAAAGGAACAGTTTGCTTTGGCTTTCTATTTAATTAATCAGAAGTTAACAAAGGGCATTGATCCACCTCAGGCTTTGACTCCAGAGATGATTCCACCTTCAGACAGGGGTGTCAGCTTACAGAAGGTAAGGATGGGTTGGGCATTTTTGGTATAAATCTCAAAGAAAGAATGTTAATTTCAAAGGCTACACAAGAAGCACCTCAAGTACTGACATACCTAAAATTTATCATAATATCAGGAAGTAAACAAGTCTTAAGTGCAAAGAATTGACAAAAACTGTTCCATCCATGGTTCAAAATGAAGCTGTCATTTATTACGCCTGCCAACCAAGCGGAGAGATCTTATGTTGAGAAAGCATTTTCTGTTTTGAAAGAAGAATCCTTCTACTGCCTATCTAAAGAAACTTTAGTTTGCATCTGAAATAATATGCACAAGTTCAATGTTTTTCTCTTAATGTGTTCAGTTACCTTTTTTTACATTGATCTTTTTTAAGAAGTCTGGAAACAATGTGAACCAAATAAAGTTTAGAATTATATATTTAAAGTTTTGAAAGTAGACAGTCTTCCATTTTCTACTTCACAGGTAGTTTAAATGTCTTCATAGTCTGTTGATTGCTGTCTATCTTAATCCAGCAGTAGACTGTACCTCAGCAGTTCAGGTTGTATTTATCAGAATGGTAGAGGTTCATCACAAATTCTTACTTGTTTTACACATCATGAAGTCTGATGTGGGTTACCTTTTCTTGGTTGTGCAAAACATTGACCTAATTCTACAACTTTCTTAAACAGAATGAAAAATTCGCACCTGAAAAAATGAAACTCAAAATTTGGCACTACTTTTGAGTTTCTGTAACTGGTATCTAATTTCCTTTTACATTCTGTTTTTAAAAAGTAATTGCTTTATTTGCAACTCTACTAATCTTTTTTGTATGTTTGCTTTCCTTTCTATGTCTCTTCTAGTTTGGACTGTTTTTTCCATTCTGCACCACTCTGCTTTTCATCCTTATTATTCTGTCAGTTTGTTAACTCTGCTTTCTCAAGGTTAGAGAATCTTTGCTTTTCTAATATTTACTGTCTGTTGGTTTAATAATGAACATCCTTCTAAAACTCTTACATAATCACTGAAATAGCACAGCACTTCTCTGAAGTGTCACAGTATGTTGCAATCTCAAATTATTGCTGATTTCCAGTGTTGCTCATCTCAAATAACCTCAAGGTTCTTCCTTGAATCCAGACCTCTGTGGCTCTTACCTGTTGGTAATATGTGCTGCTTAAACTTAAAAGAGGAAATGCTATGTCTTTTCCTGTTGAAATTGCTGGGGAAGCGATGACAGAGTAGTAGCCCAATGCGACAGTTGGCAGTTATCATTAGGACTAATACCCATGGTTCTACGATTATATTACAGAAAACTTAGTGATTATAACAAATTGGTTTGGATCAGTGTTGGCTACTGCTATTCTGTGCGTGTAAATTGTTTTTATAGAATTCTCAGACATCAGTGTAGAGGTTTTTTTGCATTATTAACATAAACAATGAGTAAGAATATTGTGAAAGAAGGTAAGTTAGATTTTACTTAACTCTCTAAATCCTTATCAAGAATTTGTTTTACTAGATTAAGCTAAACCTTCAGCTCGTTTTGGGGTTTTTCAAAAAAGATATTGTCTTGTTGATATGAAAGAATCCGTCCAAGATTATTGCTCAAGAATTGAACCCAGAGGATAATCAGTAGGCAGACATGGTTTTCTTGAAGCGGTGTGGGTTACACTGTAAAAGCACAAAAACTTAGGCTTCATCTTCTGAGTTGGCCAATATAAAGGTAGTAGCAGAAATATCAGTAAGTATAACAGTAATCCCTTATGTTTCTAAAGCAGGGAAAGTTAACTTGTGAACCTTCTTGGTAGATATTCAGAATGCATATGTATGTAAATTGCTGTTATCCAATGTTGGTTTCCTTACAGAATTTTATTACCACAGTAGTGTAACTTTTATTTCTATTTTGGGCCTGAATGGGATACAATAACAGTCTAGTACTTGTTGCTGTGTTTCTTTACCTGCAATCTTGTTTGTAGTCACCAAATTTCACTTGCATTACCAGCCATAAAACTTAAACTTACATGCAAGTTCCTCTGAAAGAATTTTGACAGGACTTTTCATAGTATTTTGAGTTAAAAACTCAAAGCATTGTTTGCATGCATGTTGTAGTGTAGTAAGTGGCAGCAAATAGTTCTAACCTTCGTTTTTGTTAACTTGTATATTGAAGCTAAAAATGTTGGCTTTCATGTTCCTCCCCCACACCAGTTCTCCTGAACAGTTGAAAATAAGATTGAACTACATTTTGTTCAAGTTTGATGCTGGTGTTGGTGTGCAGAATTTCTTTAACTGATGAGAGGAGGAGGCCTGGAAAGAATTTGTACTTGTAACTAATAGATGTGTATTTTCCTTCTGTCCCCTTCCTAGAAGAAATAAAAACTTTCTCGTTGGAACACCATGAGCAACTCTTCAAACCTCTTGTGCAGTTGCTTTAGATCAGGATTGAACATCATAGCCATTTTCCCCATTTGAGAAGCTATACATGAACCAGTTCAAGAATAGCTGTATGGGGTTTTTTAATTGTCAATTCATGCCATTTGTTCTAGTAAAATATGCACGAAGAATCTGTAGTTCTGCTGAATAATATTCTCTGCCACAGTGTTCTCAGATGTACTGTGTAGGTCTTTAGGTCTTTTAACGGACTTTTGGTTTTTAGTATTTTTTTTTCTCCAAAGTATAAGCTTGAATAAACACGTAGTTAATATCATCTTCATTTCCCTTTAGAGAAACTTCAGTATTTAAGGAATTTTTTGTTATTTTGGGTGTATCACTTGTTTTTTTTTAAGTATATACTTTTCCTCTGAACTTTGTGTTTGTCCTGGGTGACTTTAATCAAGACTTGAAGGAACTAATGTATTTATAAAATGCAGTTACAGTGACTGGACTTCCTAAATGTGTTCATGTAGTGATAAGGCACAGTAGAACAGTTACAGCATATGATAATTTGTGTCTTCAGCACTTGTTCTATAGTCACGTGTATTTTTCTGAAACCAGTAATTTATATTACAGTCATCTTATTATAAAGACATTAAGTAAATGGGAACTCATGGGTGTAATTTACCTATGACTTTGTATTATTCAGTGCTCTGGAGGTTCATGTTAAACTATCTCAATGTCACTTAAAGCACTGCAAATAAGTGTCTATACTCTGCAGTAGGAGGATCACCAAAGTGAAAAAAAATATAACTGGAGAAGTAGTAAACAAACCAAACCACTCTTAAATTAATGTTAGGAAGGCAGCTAAATGTTAACTGCAAGATAAATTTCATTTTAGAACCAGATTTTTTTTTTTGGTACAATCAAGTGATCCTGTGCTTTTGTGGAAGAAGTCTTCAAGAATTTACAGGAGACAGACTCTGTTTTAATTACTAGGTGCCTTGGATGTATGTTGTGTTCTGTTAGTATAGCATCTGGACTGTTTTGGGTGTTTTAAGATTGAAGATTTGAAATACAGTGCTACCAACAGTTGTTACAACAGGATAGCTCGTGCTGTCACAAAAAGTAAAGTGAGTATAGTCATTGGACAGCATAAACTATAAACTAACAGTATGTATTTTTATCTTTCAGAGTACTCAAGGACCGAATTCTGTAGCAGATTTTTCTGCAATTAAAGAACTTGATACGTTAAACAATGAAATAGTAGACCTGCAAAGGTAGGTAAAGGAGGAATAGTCATAGTGGCCTTGGATTCAGTTGTGTTACTTACTGCTTTTTAAAAACCAATTCAATGCATAAGAGAAGACTAGGTGGTAATAGTCTGCTTTGCGAAAATAAATGGTTAGCATGTCTGTAAATGTCTAATTCTGTTTAACTCTAGTACTCTTTTCTAACTTGGATAAGTGCATTTAATACAGCAAGATGCTGAAAGGTCTGTCCGTCATGTCTTCTGGGCATGTTTGAGAGCCGAGTGTGTTAGCATCCTGAGATGGAAATATTCTCTCTTTATTAGCAGACGAGAATGAAGCAGATCTTTAGGATGCTGGAACCATTATATAAACTGGTATTAGTTGTCTTTGATTTGTATTAAGGACTTTTTTCTAGCGGCAGTAAGGAAGTGAGATGGGAAAGATGAAGAAGTGTGTAGGGTAGAGAGTGGGAAGATGACACTTTGTATGTGTACCTCTGCTAGGGTTTTGATGGTGATAAAGATGGACATGCTTCTCTTCAGTAAAATAAACCATTTTACTGAGAAAAATTGTTTTAATTTGCGGTCTGCAGACCCTTGGATTCCATTATTTCTAAGGTAATTAAGGTGATGACTTCAAGTGATGAAGAAAATTAAGTTCATATAGTCTTCATCATACTCTCAAGACATAGCAGATATTTTTCTTCAGTGATTTTTTTTTTTTTTACACTATCATAGATCTACAGGAAATTCTATTAAGAACAGTTAATTCTACTATTTTATAAGTGAGGGTGCTTTGTCATGATGAAGTCTGCCTGTCTTACTCATGTCACTTGCAGGACTGATTTAATTTGGCAATGTGTCAAAGCACAGTCTGTTTCCTAAATACATAAATGTTTTTTCACTTAAACTGCTTATCCACCCTCTTACTACTCCCACTGCCTCCTCACTTCTCCCTGCTCTGCCTTCCTTGGTTATTCTTCAGGTTGTATTAATTCCAATTTTGGACTCTCACATTTATTAACCTGAAATATGATTTACAACCATGTATATTTGATGGTAGTATCTTGGAGGGAAATAAATTGCTCACTAGCATAAATTTTTAGATTAAGTTGGTTTTCAGTAGGGGAGCTTGCAGCCTAACAGGCAAGCCAGTCTGTTTATGTCTTGTTTTCCTTTGATGCGGTGAGGTATGAAGGAACCATGGCCTTTGAAAAGTCATTACTTCCATTTCTTCAGTGGCAATTATACTTGGACAATTGAGACTCATTTGATACTAGATAGATTGTTGAAGATATGGTAGGGGACAACTATTATTATGTATTTATTTTTAGAAAAGAAAAATTTACTTTGATACGATTTAGAGGTTCAGAATAGAACTGGACTAACAATGAGAGGCTTAAGCCTGTATCATCAAGCTGAAGTATAATAGAGGTTTGAGTGGTTTCACTGAGAATGCCTAGAAAACTCTCAAAGTCATAAAGTGAGTTGTGGCTCAGATAAAATCTGTTCTTTTTTTTTTTTCTTTTCAAGGAAATTAATTCTTTAATTGGAAATGCTTTAGCTGCTGTAGAGAAGTTATTTTGGTAGTTCTCTACCTTCCCTAAGCACAGGTGGCAATGTTAGGCGACAGATTAATTTTTGTGATAAATGTAGGAAACTTTTAATCTTTGGCAAATCCACATTTCTGTTATAACTGGTGAAATACACTTTCAGTCTTGATAGATATCATAAAAATGTAATTTATCTTGTTTAATAATGAACAAAATAAGTTTATATTCAGCTGTTGAACACAATATATAATAATTCTAGTCCATGATTCCATTGAGAAGTATCCATGGAGCTGCATTTTTGAGACCTAATAATAGAAATTGAATCTATTTTTGAAATGCACTTTAAAAATAAAAAGGCAGCAGAGGAAATGCTCAAAAGAATGACAATGTGTGGAAAACAGCTTTTTAAGAGACTGAGCAAAGAATACAGGCGTGATATGTTTGTGGCTCAACAGTCTGTATGGGAAAGATTTCTGGTAGCTAATAGCTTTTTAATGTAATTCAATAAAAACCATGTCAGGAAGGTGGAGGTTGAGGATCAGATGAAAAATAAAATGCAGAAATAAAATGCAGAATGCTTATTAGTGAGGATAATTCCCCTTTGGTAGGGGGAATGATTTGCCTAGGGACGTTGTGGAATCTGCATCATTTTGAGCCTGTCAGCACTGCTGCCTGTAAGTTCTGTTTCAGTTGCACTATATTTTTAGAAAGCTATTTGAAGCTTTTTTGATCAGCATTGTGGGAGGCTAGACCAGATGTTCTTAATATTCTTTTTTGAGCCATAAAACCTTTTTCTTCACCAGCAAACCCTGCTTTTGTGCATTCAAAGCTATCTATGGCCCACAGATCAGTAGAATTTCTTCAAGCTTTACCAATACTACATTCTTCTCTAAGTGTGTTTAAGTAGTTGAGTTTAACTTAGTGTATCTCACCAGAGGTGCCATCCTTAACATATGTTGGACAGCAACAGTTACATTGTCTTGAATGGAAATGAGGTTAAAAGGACTATAAAGCTGGTAAATTGGTGTCTCAAAAGTAAGGAAACAGCAAAGCATCCCCAGAAAAAAAGGGCAACTTCTCCCTGCCATAGACTTGTATCAAGCCTTTGTTTCAAAGTGCAGAGATCTACAGCTTCTTAACAAAGCAATGGTAAGAATTTTAATATAGGTTAGATTATTTCTTCTAATCTCTGGTTTGAAAATAACTGAGCTGTTGCAGCTGAAAAGGTTGGGGGCACAAAGAGGAGAAGAAACAAGGCAAACCCTAAGCATTTTTTTCCATCATTGCCAAACTGAAGTACTACTACACTAGGAATTCCCAAAGTTACAAATGTATGTGAAAATAAGAAATGTTGGGCAACTGTGAGTGTAGATAATGCTGCCAGCTCTGTGAGTAGTCATCTGTCGCTTATGGAAAGCAACTATGTGTAACTAAGGTGATTTGAAGCGTTGGCCATCAAGAAGCCTGGCCAGGGTTGTTTCATGTTTGGCTTGAATGCCTGTACTGACATGGGAATTCTGCAGTTTGAAATTGTAACAAATATTTGCAATGTGATGACTCCCATTTATAAATTACTCCATTGAAAAATTAGCATAAAACTTAAAGATTTACTAAGATTATCCAACTGTAAATCATGAACTATCTGCATTGGAGAAATCATCTTATTAGTTTTCAGTTTTTCTTAATCATTGCTTCTAGTGTCTTTGATATGAGGTTCTCCTGACTACTAATAAAATACATAGGGAAATTGCTTTCCTTTCATAAATTGAGTTGAATTGGTTACCAGTGTCCTTTACTGGCAAGACCACAGTTCTTTTTTGGTTGTTCTCTTGTTTGGTTTTGGTTTGGGGTTTTTTTTGGTTTGTGGGTTTTTGGTTTTGGGTTTTTTTTTCCCCCAAGTGCTGATGTGGTAAGGGACTTTATGATCCAGGAAATCTGTCATGTCCAATAAATCAATTTTGTTACTTGTTTTTGGTTCTTTCAGTTGCTGAGCATTCCTACAGGGGCATACCAGATAGTTTGTAAAAGAAATGGAGGCATTCAGAAGAATTAGTGAATTAAGTAGGTCTGTGTTGTCTTTTTTTTTTTTTAAACAAAAGACGTATTACTGGGTGGGGAGGAGGGGATGTGTTATGTGTAGACTATATATACACTCAGCTTGTTTTCCTTTGCTGGAGACTGCTGCCTAAGCTTTTCTTGTTCTGCCTGACAATACTTCTTTCACTTGATTTTTTTCCAGTTCGTTGTTTGTGTTGTGATTTGGCCAGTGTAAGCTGTGGGTGGGTATTGTATCCTGTTGCTTGCTTAGCATAGTCTACATTGGAAGGTTTAGGTACCTGGCTTTTGTTGAAATAAAAGGGAAGTGGTCTTCATCTTTGACAGTGTCTTAGGCATGTCAGTGACAGTAATGTGCAAAGGCTGTTTATTAAAGCATACATGCCTGCTTGCATTTCTGTTTCCTGCTCAGTTTTCATACCAGAGCAGGAAAAATGACAAGTATTTGTTTACCTAGTCAGTTATTCTTTTATCTTCAATCAGGAATAATAGGCCTGAATGTTTGCAGTACTTGATGCATGTCTGAGGCCTTGAAGGTATTTCTCAGCCTGACTTGTATTTAGATCTGGGGAAGTGCTTTAATGAGATTGAGACCCTTTGTTTATGGAAAGTCACAGAAGGGAAAATCAACCGAACTTGCCTCAACCCAGTGCTACAATGCTTTAAATATTTAAGTACCACTGTGCTACAAATACTAGTTTATTGAGCTAGAGGAGTGTGCTATAGCTCTGATGGAAATGGCAAAGACTTGCTTAGAATTTCCATAATACTTCTTTTCTGATGAATGGAGAGTGAGGAACTTTATGAAACTTGAAGGTTCACACTTAAACAAATAACTAGCCTTGTTCTTCAAAGTCCCTCTTTCCACATCTTTCCTTTGCCTTCCATTTAAAACTTCCCTTTGGGCACAATCAACAAGTTGCACTTTAACCAGATACTGAGATAAATAATAGCAGAACATAATCTATAGTAATTATTTTTTCAGAGCAAATGTTCATTTCGGATCTGTGACATCTGGATTTTTTTATTTTTAATGTTCCATTGTATGTGGTTTAGCAGTAAACAATTCCTTAGCTTGAGTGGAGAGAGCTTACAGTAGACCTGCCTTACTTTGAGAAATGCTTTGTTCTATATTAGATGAAAATAAACAATAAGATTAATAGTTTTAGATTGATTACCCATCTGCTGCTATTAAAATGTGAAGTTACCTTAATTTCAATATGTACTAGTAATATAATGTGATAGCTTTTCACTATGGTATTTCATGTAGAAAAATTAGGTTTATTGTTGTTCAAGTTCTAACTTAATGTGTGTGCTGATTTATTAACAAAATCTTTATAAAAGTAAATATTTGTATACAGAAAATAGTGTTAAAATAGTAAAGCTTAATGCTTTTCTGCATCTGTGAAAGGAGAAAAGATTCCATATACTTTCTAGAGATAAACACTCCTGATTTTTTTTAAACAGTAACACTTCTGAGTTGTATCTTTTTCCCCTTTCTTGAAGCTATTGTTATGTCTGACTGCCAAGAATTTATTGATGATGATTCCCCTGTCATTCATAGACACTTTTAAACTTGAATAAATGTCTGTAGAGACAGATTTGATATGACACAGCAAATAACTGTGTGTGGAGTCTCTGAGCAGATAGTGATTACAGCAAGCTAACCTTTCTTCTTCTGACTGAGCTTACCAACAGATATATCTAAAAATCTGATGGGCAAAGGCCATTAATCAGCTAGATTGGCCTACTGGAAATGTTTTCTAGCTGCTGTTAGCATAGGAATTACTGTGTTTGCAGGGGTTAATAGATGGAATCTGATGCAATCCCTCCCACTTTTCCCAGCAGTTTTCATTAGACAAGTGCTCCATAGCAACAGTGAGATCACTGGAGACAGTATTTCATTGATTTCTCCCTCCCGCCCCCTTCCATTTTTGAGCCATTCTTATCACTGAAGTGCAGTTGGGCGAAAAGACAGGGTTTTTTATGCAGAACACTTATGTGGGCTTCTGTCTTGTAAATAATTTGGAAGGCAGAAATCCCTTACATCTTTTGTGTTTAATGTTTCACTATGTATTTAAAGAGAGATACCGGCTTAGGGGGCTGGATAACTGTACCTGCTGTAGCTGATGTTCTTAAGTATTCTTGCATTGTTTGCTGGTCTTCTAGGGAAAAGAATAATGTAGAGCAAGACCTGAAGGAGAAAGAAGATACCATCAAGCAGAGGACAAGTGAGGTCCAGGTAAATAAGACACAAAATTATTGTTCGGACACCTGATATTGCGCCATGTGGTGCTTTAGTGGCAGTAGGATTACGGAGTCTTTAGATCACATCACTTAACAATTTTTTTTTTCTTTTTACTGAGTATCTGAGACAAAGAATGTAGGTTGAAGTGTATTTTCTATATGAATGGGGGTTGGTATAGGTGTTTGTATTTATATAAGTGTGTGAGCTCCTAGGATATATAGCCTGCATGGAGTTTTAAATGAAAAATATTACAAAAGAATAGATTTCTTTTTTCTTTTTTTAAATTTTGTTTCTTTAGCAAGGCTAGCTAATGTATAATCAAAACTAAAGACACTGTAGCACTGCAAATTTAATAAACTTAAGTGGCTGAATTAAAAGGGCTGCTTCTTAAGAGTCGCAGTAAATACCAGCTTGGGAGGAATGTTGCCTCCAGTTTTTTTTTTTTCTAATATAAGTGAATTTTAGGCATAATCTGTTTGGGTCTTTTATGTAAAAGCATGACATTGAATTTCCAAAATATTAGAAAATAAAAATTTTACAAGTGTTTTATAGGGATTAAATATTATACAGTCTGTACCAGTGTTTAGGGTGCTAACAGCCTAGCCAAGCTCTGAATTAAATGCTGCAAAGCAATATTTCAATTAAATTTTAAGCTGCAAAAGCAGCTGGACTTGTGGCTTTGAGAAAAATCTTCAGTGTGATATTTGATCATTTACATTTATTTTTACATTTATTTTTAGAATCTTTATTATTTTAAATAATCTTTATTTGATTAAGACCAAATAATGCAAGATTTCTGTATTTTACTGTGTGTTGGGCAGAAAAAGAGCCAGTGTGTTACAACAATTGTGAATTTTGTGCTTGGCTATTTAATAACCTTAAAGCCTGGATGATAATTAATAGTCTGACCTTTCAGAAGATAATCAGATGCTGGCCTGTTAGTCACAATGGCAGCCAGATTCAGCAGCTGCAGGAATGCATATAGAAGTTGCTCGTGTCTGTGGTTCTGCCCATGCATGCAGCGGTCATTCCCCTTCCCACTCTGCAACAATTCTTATGGGTATTCCTGGTTTTGCACACAGGATGATTTTGTTAGTGTGTTCTGGAATCTGTGTGTGTTCATATGAAGGTTGAGTTCTCTGGTGCCTTTGTACAAAAGGTGTATAAAGCTACGTAAAACCCTTACCTTTAATGTTACAGTATTAGTGTCATCTGTGTATGTTTAGTGTTTGATAGCAGCATCACAGAATCAATTAAGTCATTGTATCTAGAGCAGTAATGCTGGAAGCAACTGTCTCAGGTCTTTAACCTCTTAGTGATCACACAAGCTATTTGTCTTTTGTTAAATATAGAGTTATAGAGTTCCATCAGTCTAGAGAATGAAGTCTATTACTGGCTTGTCAGAAGAATGAGAAACCGTCAGGATCAAATAGGAAATGGCTGCAGCACTTATTTAAGCTGGTGGCCCTTTATTTCTAGTGCCTTTTTTGTTCCTGAATGTTGGAGGACCTGCATGTTTCAGGAAACTTTCTAGAACTTCAAAGAATAGTGGTGACAGACTGAGAATATTTTTACATCATGCTTTTTTCTTCTGGTTTTATTCTAATGGTGACATTTCTAAAGATGATGTACAAAGCCAGTGCATTCTAATCTGCCACCTTAGATCAAGCTAGTTTTGTGGCATCACACTCCAAGGTTTCTGATACCAGAATTACTTCCATGGACATAAATTTTAATCTCAAATATAGCCATGGTCTGTGATGGATCAAACTAGTTTCTATGAGAGGAGGGAAAGAACAACAGGTGTTTTTTTTCTTCTGTAAAATAATATACTTACTATGTAAATAGATGATAAAAAGCAAAGACAGAACAAGAGTTGGCAGGAAAGCATGGCGTATTGATGGGTTTTAATGTGCTTTTTAAAATATCAGCTCTTCAGCAGCGAAGATTAAGGACTGTTGTTTCTTAAAAAGTTATGGGCAGAATATCAAAGATCAAGAAACTTCTAAGGCACCATTTTCTTAACTTAATCTGTGACTGGATTAGCATTTTCATTTAAATATGAGAGTAGTAAACTCAGAAATGAAACGTTCCTCTTGGCAGTAGAGAACTTTGTTCTACAGAGTTAATGTCTAACTAAAACATCAGTTTCTAACCACATACCAAGTGGCATCTGAAATTGCCTTTACCTGGCTGTCTCCTTGTTCTCTCATCCCCAGCCTGCTCTTCTAGACACAGATGTTGGAGCACAGTGTGCTTCAGCAGAGACACTGCCTCAGGCAGTGGGCTTTTGGACACATTCACAAGACTTTCATCTTCCATCTAGCCCTTCTCATGTACGGGCATGCTATGTCAGTCTACCTGCTAAGACTCTGAAATAAGTGGTGATTCTCCTGGCTTTTCCAACAGTTACATGTTCCCTAGAATTTTATTGACCTGAAGTCAAAAAGTCTGTGTTTTGCTTTTCAGTGGGATACTGAAACTTTGTAAAGAAACTTTTAGAACAAATGCATGTTACTCCTGAACAAAGCATCATATATGTTTACATCATTTGGGGAAAAAAATTTAACTGCATGTATGACACTGCTTCAGAGAAGGAGGGTGAAAAAAAGTGAAATGTGTTTTGGGACTGTGGCCTTCTAAGTAGTCCAGAACATTTCTGGCCTTTTAGCCTCCGTCGTCTTTTCGGCCTAGGTTTTCTAAAACATGTTTACACTCTGAATATCCCACTCAGCATTGGATTTTTCTCTGTTCTTTGCAGTGCACCAAAGCCATTAGAAAGTCAGTGAAATTTAACTTTTCTGTGCTCTTTCAGGCTTAACAGTTCCTAGCTCATGAATCATTTTGTGAAGTACAGACTGACAAGTCATTAAATCCTGGAAAGAGAGATCTCTAGACTTTCCTTATCCTACACTACATTAGCATGAAGAGTTAAAATGATCATCAATCTAATATAAAGATTACTATTACCATAAAAATGATAGTTTGTACCACCTCAAATATGTTAATGGTTTTAATATACAATCTCATTCAGTGCTTGAACATTAAGATGCTGCTTCACTGAAGGTGTTATTTGAAATCAAAGCTTAACTGGAGCCTGTTTTAATTCACGAGAATGTATCTTTGTGCATTATCCCCAGTCCTCTGCATTGCATCTATTCTGACCTTTAATTTTGGAGTGGTTATGTTGAAAGTGTCTGGGTTTTGGTTGGGATTTTTTTTCCTTCTTTTCTCTTGTGGGAGCCATCAGGCTTAGTCAGGTCTCTTCAGTGCTTCTCTATGGCTGTGCCTAGGAGAGACACTGGGATTCAAAGAATGGTAGCAATAGTGGAGGTGATCTATATTTAGCTTGTGTGTATGTGAACTCTTGCTTCTTTTTGGAGAAAGGGGATGGAAATCTCTTTTAAGCTGTTACTTTTTTTTTCCCATTGCCTATGCTGAGTGTCAGCTGATACTTGCTGAATGGATCAAGAGTGTCCCAGTTACTCAAGGAAGTAGCTGCTGTAAGAGCTTTTTGTGTATGCGCTGGTTTGTCTTTCACAGATTAGAAGTAACCAGTAATTCACCTAGTCTGACTGCTGTACATCAGTCAATACCCTTTACCAAATTTCAACTTTGGTTTTGGAGTTTTTGTGTGGGCTTTTTTGGTGTACTGGTTTCTTCTTTGAGGTTTTTTTTTCATAAAAGCATCTATGATGTTTCTTTAGGCAGTCTTCCAGTTGTCTTGAGGTTACCCTAGCATCTGACTGCTGTACCATATGCTTTTCTGTCTGGCTTTTTTGTTCTAAATATCTGGACATGTTAGCACATGTGGATAAACTATGTCCCTCACCAAAAAAAAACCCTAACACCCCTAAAAAATCACAACAGGGTCTTAGCTTAGAGCAGCACACAATTGTATGATCTAATCAGAAATTAACGTCAGCTTGTTTTCTTTTCCTCCTTAATTTTCTTTCATCTCCATTAATTTTTTTTCTGTTGTTAATTATTCTTCCTTCTGTTACTATATTTTCTTGGAAATACGGCAGTCTTATCTTTTCATCTAATACTTTTCCTTTTGTATTAATCCTTTTTGATCTCCCTGTATTATCTCTTTCTCTTGACTTTGATGTTTTTCTTTTCCCTAAATTATTTTCTCGGCATTATTTCAATGTTATCTCTTCAGTTTAACTATTCCTGTTGCTCAGAAATTAAATAATTATCATATGGTGCTACTTAATGTACTTAGAGCACAAGGAACATACTTCTGTTTCATAAATTAAAAGATGTCATACTGTTGTGTGTGTAATGTGCATTTCTTACCTGTATTGTTACATGGGAAATAAGTTTTTGGCTGATCTTTGGAAATTGGAGGCCAGGGACGCTCTAGGAGGAGTGTATTTGGGTTAATCATGCACTGGTTTGGTCCTTTACTGTGTTGCTAAAACAAGTTCCTGGGTTTTGCCATGTGTTTTTGAAGGAGGAAGGAGCAGAATAAAGAATTTCTATTATTAAGGAATTTGGTAAAACATACTGCTAAAACACAGGAGAGAGACAATGTAGTAGCCTGAATAAAGCTGACTTCTAAATCCAGAATAAAACCCTAACCTCCCTGTGAGTAAAACAGTTAATATTTCAATGAGATTCTTTTTACTGAAGAAAAGAAAAACATTATTTTTATGTCCTAGAATTAGAATTTTGAGAGTGCTTGCTTGTCTGACATGTTATAAACGCTAGCTTGTGAAAGATAATTTATTGATAATTTTAAAATCTGAGTTAGTACCACAGTTTACACGGTGGAATTTAGTGATTAGGAGGAGAGAGGGAACAAATGCAAAGCTAATCTATTTTATTACAGGATCTACAAGATGAAGTAAAGCGGGAGAGCAGTAATCTGCAAAAGCTGCAAGCTCAGAAACAGGAAGCACAGGAAATTCTTAATGATCTTGATGAGCAGAAG